ACTTTTTACTTTTAATATTTTTTTTGAACCAAATTTAGTAATTAAGATCATGTGCCCAAGATTCTTAAAATAATTTAAAATTTCTATATAAGATTATCTCTAAAAAGGGTAAATATTAAATGCCTTCAATTGAAATAAAAGGCAAATTTAGAAAATCCATTAATTAAATGATGGTGTATATCAAGGTGGTAGGTGGTGGGTAGAATATAAATCTATATATTTTGAAAAGAATTATAAGAAAAATTGTAGTTTTACAAAATTTATGAGTGAGTAGTGAGGAGCAAAAGAAAGAAAAAATGAGTGGAAAAACCAATCGACGTTCCTTTAAAAATTTTAGGGGCCGACGATCAAGGGGAAGAAATCATGGTAGGAGGATTCGACGCAGACGAGTAAGGGGAAGAGATCTTGGTAGGAGGATTCGACTTCCGGTTGAGTTTTCTAAGCAATTCTTTAGACTCAAGAAGTTGCTTGGCCACAAAAGACCAAGTTTAACCCTAAAATGGCTTTTGGAGAACTCCAAGGCGGCAATCGAGGACCTTCACTCTAAGAAAGCAGTTAATCATGAAAATGATGTGCTTGCCCCATCATCTTGTTTCGGTGAGGTTAGATTGATGACTAGCCATCAAGGGCTTAAAACATTGCTACCAACTACTGTGTGTGATATGGAGGCTAACACTATTGATGGATTGAAGTTTGGTGATGATGTGGTTGTCGTCTCTCCTTCTTCGTTGGGAGAAGTCCCTATACCTTCTTTGGGAGAATCTGGGTTAGCGAGTACTCCTCGAAGACTCAAAACAGTCCTACCTCCTTTTGTTTATGGTATGGAGACTGAAATGGATTTTTCTCCAGATAAGATTGCTAGGTTTTTATAAACCAATCAGAAATGAAGGATTCAACCTTGAAATTCAAATGTAACAAAATGTAGGTGGAAAAAATGAAAATTTTAACATTTTGTAATAAAAAAATTATATATATATATATATATATATATATATATATATATATGTGTGTGTGTGTGTGTGTGTGTGTGTGTGTGTGTGTGTGTGTGTGTGTTTATTTTAGTTGGGTTGTTTACTTTTAATTTATATAATATTTTTATATTTCATTAGTTCTATTTTACTCTAATACTCATCAAAAATCATAATTTATTTAATTACATATATCTTAAGTATTATAAAATTAAAAAAGAAATAATTGTAATTTTTTCCATTGTTAACATGTTTTAAATGATGTTCTTTTGTTTACTTGAGGGAGAAAGCTTTCTCCCCCTTTTTTTTCTTCATTGTTTTTAATCTCTTAATGGTGAAGACGTTATTAATCTATCATGGGATTTTGTTACTTGGAAGAGAGGATTTGGAATATTGACTAGTAGATTGATGTAGTAATTCTAGGTTGTGGCTGGGAGAGGGTTGTAATCAACAAATTTAAGGTCTGATAATGGTAATTCCAGGTTGTGGAGAGGGTTGTAAGGAGAAAATCAAAGGTATAATAAAGACAATTAGGGTTGTTTGACAATCAACGGTCAGCGGTTAGCGATTAGCAGATATCATATAGCGGCGGATTTTGTTAACGGGTTTGATCATCGGATTGTATAAGTGGTTTGTAAATAAATGTTTGCTAAAATTAACTGTTTAGATTAGCAATTAATATGTAAAATGACATAAAAAGACATTCATATTATTATTATTATTATTATTATTATTATTATTATTATTATTATTATTATTTAATAATAAAATACAATTTATAATAATAATATAATATAATATAATATAATATAATATATAATAATAATAATAATAATAATAATAATAATCCAAAACAAACCAAAATCATATTTAAATTTCTTTTTTAAAAAATAGGGGTGATGTTGTGGATCATTTTGATCCCACATCGAAATTCTTTGGAAGAGGAGCATTTGAGCTTCTCTATATAAGAGGAGCAATTATCCTCTTCTAAACCAACTGCGGAACCAAAAATGCTCCTTAAGTTATGGAGCATTAATGGCTCAGTAATAATAGTTTTTTTTAAAATAATAATAATAATAATAATAATAATAATAATAATAATAATAAAAAAAGGGCGTTTTGTGAAAAGTTTAAACTTTCCCCAAAATGCTAATTTGAAATGTTGCAAAATGCAACATTTTAGTTCTCTGTTTGGAGCAAACTGTTGATACGTTTTAGTTCTCAGCGGTTTGGAGCAAACCGTTGAGTTACTAAACATGTTTTTTGGCATTTTTATTGAAGTCAAAATGTCAAAATGACGGATCGTAATTGCAGAGAGGTTTAGAGGTTGGCCGCATGTATATTTTGGTTGGAAGGATTATGAAGACAACTCTAACCAAATTTTGATGACAATAATGAATAAAGGGAAAAGGAACTATTAGAGAAAATTGAATTGCACTAATAAACCAAAAAACGTTTTGACTAAAGTATTGAACTTCACAGGGTAGTCTTGTTAGGGTAGTCTTGTTACGGTACGGCTTGGATACTAAGTAAGGTGGAAAAGACTAGAGTACCCTCCCTTATTCTAAAAAGGTTAGGAAGACATCAAAAGATTAGGTACAAAGTATTAAGCTCAACGTCTTTCTCTTTGATTAAATCAATTGACCAAGGCATTGATCAATTTAAGTCATCCGACTATTTAATTAGGAAATTAGGAATGAATTTTACAACGAAGGTTTAGAATTAATTGGATAATTAATTCCATTTAAAGGATTGGATTTTCGGGGTGTCACACTCTCCCCCTAACAAGAAGCTTTGTCCCCGAAGCTTGGGTGCAACTGTGATACCCCATATTTTATGAGCACTATACGAGGACCGTATGTGCGTACAGAGTTTATTTTATTAAATACTCCTATCCTTGTTACCTAATTTTATTCTATTCTTTGGGCTCCAAATGTGACCTATTATTATTATTATTAATTATTAATTATTAATATTATTATGAATATGATATTGAGCCTAATAATTAGCAATTAGCAATAATTGCTATTAATTCTATAGCTATTCTGATACAAATAAATATGTATGTACGTTTTAGATGGTATCCATATTACTATTCCTAGCTAAATATATTGTATTATGCTATTATAGTTTATATTAGCAGTATATATTACCTAGTATATGTATATCCCTTGTGTCTCTCCATCTCTGTCAGGTCTCTCTTTCTCTCCATTCCTCAGCTGTTCAATCTTTCTTCACATCTACAGCCAGAATCACCATCTCCCTCTATCTCACCTCATCACGACAGCCGTCATCCTTCACTTTCCTATCCATTTTCCTTTCGGCAGAGCCTCGACGACGGTCCAACAACTCGATTATTTCCCGCAACCAAGCTTGTTGGTTGTGATATATACATAGTTGATAGTGAAATAATGAAGAAATTATGATGATGACGGAGTTATAGATGAAGATGATAGATGATGATGCCGATGATAGGATGATGATGGATGATGAAACTGAAATGAAGCAGATGACGTCAAGATGGTGATGGTAAGATGATGAACTATTGTTAATTCTGTTACTGCGGATAATGATGAAGGTTTGATTAATAGTATATGATGATGATTTGGCAGTACTGTGAAGTAACAATAAGGATAATAATAATAATAATAATAATAATAATAATAATAATAATAATAATAATAATAATAATAATAGTTATAGGAATAATAATATTATTAGAATTTGATTGATTCGCATGTTTCCTTTCATGGTGGCTAGAATGCTATTTTAAGTGTTGATACGGATTTTGGTCTTCAAGGGTAAGATTTTATGTTCACTAAAAAAAATTTTCCCATAAATATTATATGTTGTGTGAATATGAGTATGATATCTATGATATGAGTTATAATGTTCATGTGATCACAAGTGCATTGTATGTTGTGAGTAGTGATTCTCGAGCTATCGAGAATGGGCTTCGACGTGTCGAGCCCGGTGTGTGTGAAAACATGGCTTGGTTAATTTCTAGTGTATGTGATGTGTGGTGAAATTTGTATTACTACTGGATTATGGACTATAATTATATTTTGGACAAATCATGTGGAGAAAATTGTATTGTGAAGGAAATTGTATTTTTGAGAAAATGTATTTGGAGAAAATTATATATTTTGGAAGAAATTATATTTTTGTGGAGAAAGTATTTATTTGTGGAGAAATAATGAAATTTTGAGAAACTATTATATTGTGTGGTGTTCAGTAAAGAGAATTACTGTTCACTTGGGCTAATTACTACTCATTGGGTTTGGAATCCCATGAAGGTGTATCACATAGGTTATGATCCAGTTTCCAAACTATTTTAGTGGTAGTAGATAGGAAAACCTGACTACTTGGATCATATATTACCCAGTAGCTTGGAATCTGCTGGGGGTGTGCACGTAGGTTTCAGTCCAGATTCTAAGCGAATTTCGATGAGGTTTGTTAATTCTCCACTTATAAATATTAGTTCTCTATGCAAGGAAAAGTATAACTCCACATGTATTTTGGAAAAGTATAAAATTATATGAGTTTTGATAATATAAAATCCAAGCCTATATTTTACGGGGTGAAGTGAAACTTAATTAGCTTATGCTAATTTTTGTCTACACTTTGTTTTGTGTCAAATTATTTATACATGTGAACATGGATAGTAAATCGGGATGGATTCAAGTTGAGATGGAATAATGTTTATTTATTTTTTATTTTGAGGAAAATATTGTTGTATAGTAATTTGAAAATTTTTATGTGTTAATTTGTACTTGAGATATTATTTGATGTTGTAATTTTAGTCTTAGCACTTAGGTTGTTGGCTGTGTAAGTGTGGCAGTAACACCCATTTATTTTGGTTAGTAATGCTTCCGCTATGATTTATGGGAGGACTGTATTAAGGTTGAGGTTACATGCTTTTCTCATAATCACACTGATGCGATGGTTACTCTTGATGTGGGCAGTCCACAGTAGCGATTCACTGGATATTATGCGTTCCCGGAAAGGCAACGTAGGCGTGAGGCATGGGACATGCTACGTTCTCTAGCAGGGCTTTCCTCCTTGCCTTGGGTCATCATGGGCGATTTTAGCGATCTTCTACATCATTATGAGAAACGGGATCTTGTTCCACATTCTGACTGGTTAATAACAGGGTTCAGAAATGCGGTGGCTGACTCTGGCCTCCAAGATTTTCCTTTTACGGGACCCCAGTTCACATGGGAGAGGTTTAGGGGTACTGCAGATATGGTTGAGGAAAAATTGGATCGAATTCTTACATCTGATTCTTGGACTTCTCTCTTTGACGGAGCCACTGCGTGTTCTTTTATTACTCCATACAGTGACCATATACCTCTGTTACTTATCCCAGTAATGGTCACGCAAGAATGTAGAAGGTGCCGTTTCTGTTTTGATAATGTTTGGCTAAGAGAGGATAAATGCCGAGAGATTATTGCTCAAAGTTGGGATCGTACAGTAGGGATGGATGTGCTACGACGTATAGAAGCATGCAGCTACGACGTATAGAAGCATGCAGCTACGACATTTGGTAATGGGGCCGAAACTACAATAAGGAGTTTCTTAGGCATATTAATGTGTGCAAAACCAGATTGGACAATCTCCGAATGCGAAGGGATGAACAAAGTCTTGCACATTATGCCCAAACTGAAAGGGAACTTCTTTATCTTCTAGAGCAGCAACATGTCTTTTGGAAACAACGAGCCAAAGAGCATTGGTATAAGGGGGGCGATACTAACTCCAAATTCTTTCATAATTCAGTGAAAAGTAGGAAGAGGAAAAATAAGATTATGAAACTTCAAAATGAAAATGGTGATTGGGTGGATAGTCCAGAAGGTATTGGCGAGGTAATGATGGATTATTTTAACAACCTTTTTACGTCTTGAAAAAACAGGTGAGTCTTAAATGCAAGATTTAGCTTAAGAATTTAATTTTATTTCAATTATAAAGCTGGACTAAATGCAATCTTATTCCATATATAATAAAGAACATAAAATAGATAGCAGTAAAAGAAAGCATGCACCAGGAAATGTTCACGCAGTTCAGAGCCTCACTCCTACGTCTACGGGGCCACTCACATCAACCCAAATCCACTATGACAAAAAGGAGTACAAGAGGAGAGTTAATTACACACTAAAGTATAACCTATAACTACTCCAGAGCCTACTCCAGTGGATACGATGTGCAGGCGATCTTCATTGCTTCACGAACTGATTAAGGACATTTCTTCACACTCAGCAATACAGAATATATTCAAAGTAATTACCCAAGGAATTTCAGAGTGAAATTATGTGAAAGAGTGTGTGAAAAATGCTAACCAACGTAGCATTTTACATAGGTAGACTAAGGATCCTTCGATCCACAAAAAAAGCACTCTTTCTTTCCTTGATTTAGGCTGCTCCAATGGATGTAGATCTCTATCATTATAGGTTCTTGACTTGAATAAGATTTGAAGAAGCTTCATACCTCCTGGATTACTTTCATACGCTGATCCAGTCAACTACTCCAGACAGTATGACTAATCCAGCAACTAATCCAGAACTATTTTGACAACTAATCTGGGCCAATATTAAAAGGGTTAAATGTGTAACATTTTTACACTTACACGTCTGAGCAAGGAAATATGGAGGTAGTGATTGAAAGTATACCAACCAGAGTGACAGATGAAGATAATGCTATATTACTCAGTCCAGTTAGTATGGAGGAGGTGCGTAACGCTGTATTTCACATGCACCCGGATAAATCTCCGGGTCCAGATGGATTTGGACCAGGATTTTTTCAACACTTCTGGGACATTGTTGGTGGGGAAGTGACGATGTTTTGCAGAAGGTTTCTTGAAACAGCCATGCTCCCGGCGAAGTCAAATGAAACTTTCATAGTCTTGATTCCTAAAAAAAACCAATCCGGATTCTATGAAGGATCTTCGACCGATAGTTTTGTGTAACGTTTTATACAAAGTTGCCTCTAAAGTTTGTGCTAATAGAATGAAATCAATTCTAAACTAACTTATCTCAAAAGCCCAGAATGCATTCGTGCCCGGTAGACTGATCACTGACAATATTATGTTGGCTTATGAAGCGCATCAGTATTTGAAACGCAAAACACAGGGCACGGAAGGCATTGCAGCTTTAAAGGTAGACATGAGCAAAGCCTACGATCGTGTTGAATGGCACTTCTTGTCTGCGGTTTTGTTCAAAATGGGATTTAGTCGTTTGTGGATTGATATATTGTTTGAAACCGTAAGCTTTGTCCAGTAGGACCGGTACCATGTGCTGCATGAAAATCGACAAATAGGGCCTATTATTCCGGGCAGAGGGCTACGCCAAGGTGACCCCCTTTCTCCTTATCTTTTTCTACTTATTGCTGGAGGCTTATGCTCTCTTATTGAATCACAAATCAGTAATGGATTGTTGCATGGGGTTAGAGTTGCGCGTGGAGCCCCGCAGATTTCACACCTTCTCTTTGCAGACGATTGCTTCCTTTTCCTCCGTGCAAACACTAAAGAAAGCATACATATGAAATGGGTACTTGACACTTACTCAGCTGCTTCAGGTCAACAGATAAATTTTGATAAATTAATTCTTTGTTTTAGTGCTAATGTACATGCCCAAACGAGGAATGATGTGGTTGATGCGTTGGGTGTACGTGAAGGAAACACTTCTGGAAAATACTTGGGGCTCCCCTCACTTGTAGGGAGGAATAAAAAAGTGATCCTAGCTTATTTGAAAGACAAAATAGTGGCTAGAGTCTGTAACTGGAACACTAGATTTTTGTCTCCTGCAGGCAGGGAAGTGTTGCTGAAGACGGTTATACAGACTATGCCTTCTTATGCTATGATGGTTTTTCTGTTGCCTTTAGGCTTGTGCAGGGAGATTGAGACTATAATGAATGAATACTGGTGGACCAGGACAACGGGTAATGGCAAGGGGATAAAGTGGAAGTCATGGAATGGCCTTTGTGCACCAAAATCACGAGGTGGAATGGGGTTTCGAAAACTCCATGAAATGAACTTAGCGTGTTTGGGAAAACAAAGTCTAGCGATTAATAACGATGCTGGAGTCTTTAGTGGCGCGTGTCTACAAGGCTCGTTACTATCCAAACTGCTCATATTTTGAAACTAAATTAGGTAGCAACCCCTCCTTTATTTGGAGAGGTATGCTGGAGGTTCAGAGTGTCCTTAAAAAAGGCTGTATGGATCCATGGCTACCAGTGGAGTTGGAACCGTATGTTCAGACTGCTTTACATGAAACAATTGCCAATGCACCAGTATCCTCGTTGTTAAATGCCCACGGCACAGGCTGGGATGCGGAGTATATACGGGATATCTTTGATCCTTGTGATGTTGAAAGAATTCTAAACATTATATTCCCCTGAGTATTCCTCGACCCCCAGATTCTTGGGTTTGGTATTGGGATTCGAAAGGCCAGTATACCGTGAAATTGTGCTACAGAATGTTAAATGGCGAGGTTAATGATGAACGGCCATATATACGTTCCTCCTAAGATTAAAGTCTTTCTTTGGCAGTTAGCATGGTCTTTTTTACCTACGAGGGATGCGCTTACTGTGAAACATGTCCATTGCATGATTAATTGCCATATGTGTGGGGCTGTTGCAGAAGACGCATATCACCTCTTTGTGAACTGCCAGCATGCCAAGGATGTGTGGACTAAAATAGGTGTACCAACGATTCCTCACGTAGAACAGAATATGCTTGATTGGCTATTTAAATGCATTAAAGCTCTGCATGATGATGAATTATGTAAGTTCGTGATGGTTTGCTGGGGTCTTTGGAAAAGTAGAGAAATGATTGTGTCTGGAATGGCTCTCCCTTCTTGGTGGACTCTATGATACATTCATCCCTATCATTATGGGCAGCATGGTGTAATGCCAACTCAATCGATACAGGTGCTACAGACACAGGTAATGCAGATGATGTACGCTGGAAGAAGCCAGATATGGGTAAATTAAAGCTGAATACTGATGCTTCATTTGATCATACTAATAGAATGATGGGTATGGGATGGGTTCTCCGGGATTGGGAAGGCAGGTTCGTAGCTGCGAAAGGAATACAAATGCATGGAAGCTTTACAGTGAAGGAAGCCGAAGCCTATAGCATTCGCGAGGTTTTAAGTTGGCTGAAAGATCTGGGAGTGGGACATGTTGTCATGTGGATGTGGAAACTGATTCCCAATCAGTCTTTAATGCTATTTCTTCTTCACCTTTTTACTCTACTTTTGGTTTATTAGTAGCTAGACATTAAAGAAATTTCAACCTGTAAGATGATGTAAATTTCCTATTTGCAAAGCCACCTGCGAATCGTACGGCCCACACTATTGCTAGGGACGTCATTTCTATGTCAGGTGGCGGGGAATGGTTTGATGTACCACCCTATTTCCTTGTTCGATGTCTTTCTGATGATTTAATGCATTGATTTCTTCTTCACCTTTTTACTCTACCTTTGGTTTATTAGTAGCTAGACATTAAAGAAATTTCAACCTGTAAGATGATGTAAATTTCCTATTTGCAAAGCGACCTGCGAATCGTGCGGCCCACACTATTGCTAGGGACGTCATTTCTATGTCAGGTGGCGGGGAATGGTTTGATGTACCACCCTATTTACTTGTTGATGTCTTTCTGATGATTTAACGCATTGATTTCTTCTTCTAAAAAAAAAAATAATAATAATTTATTTGTGTTTTTATTTATTATGTTTCATAATGTGTTAACACCATGTACATAATATGTTAACTGCAGATATATAATATATTGACTGCATATACATAATATATTAATTGTAATAGATACATAATTTATTAATTAAAGATATATAATATGTTAACTATATGTATGTAATCTAGATGTTACTTTGGACTAGAGTCCATGATACAAAGTGAAGTCTGGTTCATGGTATAAAAATTGCACTAGAAATATCGGGCAAATTATGCTATGCGCACGTGCGCACCTTGCAAGGTGCGCACGGCGCTAAAACGGCGTCGTTTTCCGTGAAAACGACGCTGTTTTAACTATAAAAAAAAATTGTTCGAAACGCCGTTAACGGCGTTAATGGCATATTCGTTATGAAATTATGAATATACAGTTATGACATTATGAATGTACAGTTATAGAATTATGAATGTATAGTTATGGAATTATGAACTTACAATTATGAACATAGAGCTTCGAAAATTATGAATGTTCGGTATGGAATTATGAATATACAGTATGGAATTATGAATGTACAGTTATGAAATTATGAACATAGAACTCTGACATTATGAACTTACAATTATGAACATAGAGCTTCGAAAATTATGAATTTACAGTTATTGAATTATGAATGTACAGTTATAGAATTATGAATGTACAGTTATAGAATTATGAATGTACAGTTATGAAATTATGAATGTACAGTTATGAAATTATGAACACAAAGCTGTGAATATATGCTCCTATAACGAAGCGGTCTGAAATTAAATTTAAAAAAAAAAAAAAAAAAAAAAAAAAAAAAAAAAAGAGGAAGATAACGGTGCCGTCACCGTTACCGTGCCCATGATGCACGCTGGGCACGAGCCCACAGCATAACTATCCGAAATATCGCTTAAGTGAATAAATGATGGAGACTGAACGTTTTGAAATAAAGATTGACCAAATGATGGGAATATTTGATTTTCATTATTTAAATTACTAGTACTTTCACCTTGTGTGATGTACAGAATTGATTTGTTATAATATATTAAGAATATTAGGATCAATATATAATTATATAAATTATAACATTCAAAAAAAATATAAATTATAACATCAAATATTATATAGTGCAATTGAAGATATGGTTTGGATCAATTATATTTTCTAATGTTATTTCGGCTTGAATTCGAGTAAATAATTCTAATGTGTAGATGTCCACATGCAGTACTGAAACGTTGAAGATTTTATATATCACTGTTTAGGATTTTTATAAATTGGACAAATATGCGTGTTCTCTAGTAACTCAGTTATAGAAATAAATTGCTATAATAATTCATTTGTATGGAAGATATACATTTTTGTATGGATATATAACAATTTTGCCATTTTGAAAAAAAAAAATATAATATCATCGATTGTATTTAGTATTAACACTTATTGAGAACATCTTTGTAGACGACATTGGTAGTAGCAACACAATATTGTCCTTACTCATCTAGAGCTAACACCTTAAGGCAATCAAGATGGGTGACTCAAGAGAAAGTCACGTACAATTGTCTGTAATTAAAGACGGATTTTTTCAGCAATAACCCAACGTGAGTTAGTGTTTGTCCCTAGATTTTTATTGATAGTCATGGCATATGCAAGCATCAACCGGAATTGTTTGCACAATCCTTCTTATATTCATATTCATTACATTAATTAGTAATTTTTCTGAACATTATGGCTACTTGAATTCTGGATCCTTAATAATAATAATAATAATAATAATAATAATATAATAATAATAATAATAATAATAATAATAATAATAATAATAATAATAATAATAATATTATTATTATTATTATTATTATTATTATTATTATTACTACTATTATTATTATTATTAAGTTAATTCCATATCCATATTATTATTAACTAGTATTTTCACCCGTGCGATACATGAAATGGAATTGTTGTAATATATTAAGAATATTTAAATTAATATATAATTATTTAAGAGTTAATTTCATCAGAGATCGCTTATCATTCCTGAAAATTTCAAATTTAATCCTAGAATATAGTTATTAATTATTACGATTTATTCTATTTTATAATTCTTACGTTAATATTCTTACTATTATTATTAACACTTAATTACTTTTAGATATTATTATTACGACTTATATTATTATTATATTATTATTATTAGTTTCTTTTCTAGTTCTGTTAGTATATAATGGTCGTGAGGCACAATAATAATATAATTATAATTAAATATTCTTGTATTGTATTCCGTGAGTCACAATAATAATATAACAATAATTAAATATTCTTGAATTCTATATTCTTCTAGGATTTCTATTACCATCATTAATTATTCTCTAATTCACAATAATAAATAATTTGACCAATTATAAAGAAAGATTATTAAATAATGCCCGGGACAATTTTTTAATTAAAATTTTTAAAAATTCATTAATAAAACATAAGGTTCTCATAGTTTTTTCTTAGAAACTATTTAATAAAGCATTTTTTTTTAAAATCGGTGGGCCAAACCGCCTACGGCCGTTTGCGGTGGATAGATCTCGAAAAAATACGCGATTTAAAAAAAAACATTTGTCGAAAACGGACAACCGAGTCAAAAGTTATGCCTTGTCAAACTTTTGACACTTTACAACTTAAAAAAAAATAAATAAACACCGGTTCAGCCGGCGAGGCGGCCGCGGAGGAGGCCGATACCGACCTTCCTCGCCCCGGCCAGCGGCGCGATTTTTGCAACACTGATATATAGTATAGATATAGATTAGAATAGGAATTGTATTACACAACTTTATAATATTAGAATAGAATTTTAACCCAGAATTATTATAGAAATCAATATATTTTATTAGGAAGAGAGATTTTTTAGGAATTGGGCGGAAAGTTAAAAGATTAGGATTTTGTTTTTATATATAGTATAGATTTTAACCAAGAATTATTGTATGAATGCGAAAGTAGAAATCAGTATATTTTATTAGGAAGAGATATTTTTTAGAAATTGGGTGGGAAGTTAAAATTTAAGGATTTTGTTTTTATATATAGTATAGATTAGTAATTTTTGGTAGGCTTTTTCTTTTTCATTAATTAGTGAATTCCGCTTCCTTTTCTATTAATCAGTGAAATTAGCAATCCTTTTTTATTTCTATTTTTTCTGTTAACTTTTTTACTGATTATTATTATTATTTATCAGTGAATTCCGTTTCCTTTTCCATTTTCAATGGATTAGGGTCTAGGGATCCTTTTTTATTTTCTTTTTTATTGATTAGTATTTAGTAATACTCAGTTTTCCTTTTTCATTTTTCCTTTTCTATTATTTGGGCGGGAATTCAAGAGAGGAGGATTTGTTTTTAATAATAACATAGATTTTATTTTTATTATTTAAATTATTGCAGATTAATTTATAATTCATATCAATTTTAATAAAAATAAAAATCAAAATCAAACGCATATTTTACTTCTGAATAATTTATATTCAACGTACATCTATTTTCACAAATAATATGGCCGTAAAAGAAGAAATTTCATGTATATTTTACTTCTAGATCACTGTTGCAAAAATCGGTCTAGGCGCCCGCCTAAGCACTAGATGCCCGTAGACCGTGGCGATTTTCCCTCTAGGCGTTCGTCTAGCGCCTAACTCGGCGGACTTGACCGCCTAGCGT